CTCTCTCTCTCTCTCTCTCTCTCTCTCTCTCTCTCTCTCTCTCTCTCATTACTCTTTTCATGACCATCCTGTTAGCTTGGAAACACCACCTTCTTGAAATGTTTATATTTAGCTTGGATATGCAAGTGTGCAACAATCCTCAAATGTATTCTAGGCCTTTTTTTCAGAGGAAGCCAGTTAGTGTTTTTGAGAGGTAAACTGGCTTTCCCATAGCCATCAATTTGCCTATAAAACAGGTGGGATCCAAATCACGTTTTCATTACAATTGCATCTTTCTAGAGTCCTAAGCCTCACAGGGACATTTTTACTCAGTCTTTCTTCAGCCTTGTCCATCCTTCACAAGGATGTCTCTTCCTTGAAGGGCAGGGACTGTGAAATGTGAGATGGAATCCCAGATTCTCTTACAGGCCCCTCCTGGCTCTGCCTACAAACTTCAGTGAACATAGTAATATCCAGAAGGCAGATGTGAGCCACTTACCACAAGTCTCAGCAAAAGCAAGAATTTTAAGGAGTCAGGTTGGTGGTGGGGGACATAAATAGAAATACACTAGATCTCAGATGTGCACCTCTAAAAGGTTGTTGAAGAAGTAGTCTCATGCCACAGTCCTCCATGACCAAAACTGATAGGTCAGCCATCTTCCCATAAAGTTCCTGCCTCCAGATAAATATGTGTATAAAGTTCAGGGAAATTTGAAGAATGGTTTAAACACACACACACACACACACACACACACACACTCACGCATACATATACACTCACACACACAGGTCCTATCCTGAAGGAAGATAGTACTTGGTGACTAATACAGTCACCTCACTAAGGGTTCAGTGGTAATGCCTCTGTAACACATATTTACAACTTTGAAATTGTTATCAAATTTGTGTGTTCCTAGGATCTCCATCAAACTATGAGGCAGGCATGGCAGGGGCTACTGTGTCTACTTCTTAGCCTAGGGGCAAGTCTTCTCTACTGCCCTTTCCACAGATGAAGCTAGGCTAGGGTTTGATCCAGATGGACTCTGAAAAAATCTCTAGTGAGGCTCTCCTTAGGATACATCAGGCTACAACCTGTACCCTCTCCATCCCTGACTTCTAGCTTGAGCAGAAGGCTCTAGCCTCATTGTTGGACACTTAAAGTATGCTTAATGTATACAAGTCTCCATGCAAGCTGCTGCTTTCCCCCTCCCATCTTTATTTTCCTCTACCCCTTACCCCTCTGCCCCCAAGATTGACAGATATTGAGAATCCAGTTATTCTATAGGCACCAGGGAGCCTCTCCAGCATGCAAATTTAATGAGAATGCTTTGAAATACAGCACAAATGTGAATGTAATTCAAAGAACTTCACAGTCTGGGGAGGGGAGCTGGCAGAGTAGACATTCAAGCAGATGATATCAGTACAGTGAAAAGGACTCTGGGGGTTGGGGGAAGCTTCTAAATTTTCCTGGCTTGGAAAAAAGCACTATTCTGCTCTCTGTCCAGATGTTTGACCAGTATAGAAGAGAAGAATAAGTGGAAAGAGCTAGTAGAAAAACACTGGAATATCCAGAGAATAGAAAGATCCCTGTCAACTTGGAGAGCAGAGAGAGAAACAGACTGGGATAAGTGGCTGAAGAGCGAATTGGGTTCACAGAGATCTTGTTATTTCAGAAGTCTCTCTCTCTCTCTCTCTCTCTCTCTCTCTCTCTCTCTCTCTCACACACACACACACACACACACACACAGACAAACACACAGACACACACACACACACACACACACACACACACACACAAACCTCCTCATAATCACTGAGAAATATAGATCCCAGGATCCCATACTAGATGCTTGAAACCATAAATGGTACCAAGGATGCATTAATCTAGATAGATGGAAAATGAAACAGTACAACTCATGAACTAAGCACAGTATGAAGGTAATAACAGCTAACAATAAAATTGTATTATTGGGCTTTTTAGGCCATTCCTAAATGGAAGGTTACTGGAGCATAAATTCTGAAGTCCCACTACAATCAATCTGACAATTTTGGCACCAACCAAGTGATTACAAGGTAGGAAATATATAGATAACACAAATGTTCTGGAAAAGAAATGATTCACATCTCAGCTAGGATGGAGTTGGAGATCAAGATATTTCATCACTTTAAAATAGTTTGAAATTTAAATCTTATTAATTGTTTGTTTTTGGAATTTTCCATTTAATACTTTTGGACCACAGTTTAACAGTAGATAACTGAAGCTATGGAAGGTGAAGCTAAAGATGTGTGGGGTATTTTATAATAATATTTGAATATGTGTGCATATTTGAATGATCTTAGGCAAAAGGGTTGCTTTTAGATGCATTTAGAACCCATCAATAGAAGAAGAAATATGATCATGGTGAACTAATTCCTGTTTACCCAAACTTTTTATGCATAATATCAGATACAAAACTAAGAGACATTATTATGCACGTTCTTCTAGGAGTCAGAGTGTGTTTATTCGATCAAGCACTGAACTGTCTTCTTAAATTTGTACTTGCTCCCTGCTTTCACTTTCCATTTACTGTTTCAATGGTCATCTGACCCAAAGCTCAAAAAGCAGAAGACATTTTGACCTGTTTCTTTTTACTGGTTTAGTAGTGCTCTTGTGAAGGTCCTAGCACAGTGTGAGATAAACCACAGCTATATTGTGGTCTTATGAGTTGCAGATATTGTACCAGAATAAGTGATATTTTTCAACTTCACCCACCGAATAATAATAGTTCAACTTCGTGACATCTGTTACAATTTAATCTAGAATAGTTTTCCCTCTAGATTTTTCCCTTTTTATGGATAGACATATTGAGCCAGTAAGAAAGTGCTGGGACTAAACTTCGCAGAGCCTTCTGCCTAGCACAGACTCCAACTTTCTTACAGGGATGGTCCCTCGCATCTCTGCCCTACCCATTTCCAGCACTATGTTGCCAACTACAATTCCCAGATGCCTCTACGCTCCGGACTCCGCAAACAGGGTTTCCCAGCAGCCTTACGGGTGAAGAGCTACAAGAGGCTACTTAGGTCACCCAGCACTTTGCGCCCTCCCCACATCACGTGTCCAGGCCCCGCCAATCAGTACTGGGAGGAGGGAAGGCAGCTGTGGCCTGGAGTCCTGGAGGGCTCAGAGGCGGGACAAGCGTAGAGGGGGCGGGGCGAGCGTGGTGGGGGCGGAGCGGAGCTCCGGAGCTGAGCAGCCTGGCAACAGCGGTGGCTCCCCGAGCCTGAGGTGAGTTCTCTTTCTCGGCTGGCCTGGCTAGGAGCCGGGCATTGCGGGGACCCAGGATGGGAAGGTCTGGAGGAAGAAGTAGGGACTCCCTGAGCCGGCTGGTCGCGAGGGGCCTGGCTGCCCCCGCGGGGGTGGGGGTGGGGTTCGCTGGAGTGCCTGGGCTGTCCCTGTGAGGCAGGGTTGAGGCCCGGGAGCGGCGGGCAGGTGCCTCCCTCTGGCTTCCACTGTTCTTCTTGTCCTAGGTCCTCAGGTGGCAGCCGCTGATAGTTGGGACAGGAATAGGAAGGGCTGAGGGTCATCGAATGCATTGCTTGCACTTTGCTTCCCGGTCTAAGGTTGTCGAGTGCGCGGGACAGCCGCCCTAAGGCGACTGCTCCTTGCCCTGGCTCTGCTCATGGGGCGGACACCCGCTGCATCCCCCGTGGCCTTGCCAAGTGGTGGCACCCTGGCGCTGGCCAAGAACCCTTCTTCGTTGCTCTTGGCCAGTGTTTTTTTGTCATACACGGGGGCGGAGGGCTGGGGGCAGCGGGGGCGGGTATCTGCTTTTGCAACAGTTGAGAGAAGATCTGAGAAGGAACGGCTAGTTCCCTGATACCCAGTCGGAAGTGTGAACAGTCACTGAGAAGCGCTCTTGGCCGGGTTGCCTCCCTTAACTGTCTTTTGCGCTCAGGAAGTGAAAACTGAATTTTAGTATTTGCCTAAGCAAAAATAAAGTGACTCTTCTGTGAAAAATATATTACAGGTTTGACGGACACGTTTGGGATATGAGACAAGCGGGTTGTAGCTGGTTTCTAAACCAGATCTTTGCCAGAGTAGAATCAGCCTTTTTGAACAGACATAACATTTACATAGTAGTTCAGTTGTTTCCTGAATGGGGGAACTGAGGCCCAGGAAAGGTTAATGTGACACGGGCTTCAAGCAACCTGATGACAAAACTGATGTGACAGGTCAAGTCTCTGGGGGTTTCTCAGTGTCTGTCAAGCCTGGATTCCTTTTAGCAGAGTTCATTTTTGTTCACTGTGAAGTATCCACCTTAGAGTATTGAGTCTGAGCCTGAAGTTTTACTACAGTTCAAGCCATTTTGGACTCACCCCCCCCAAAAAAAACAGTTTACTAGCCAACCTTTCATTCATCACATATACTAGGATGGATCTGTGTATATGTCAAATTCGACTACAGAGGACTTGAGGCCATTTTACAGGATCAGATCTAGCTTTTAGGAGATTCCCATAAGCTGGAGGAGATTCAAACTGGTGGCTCTGTCTGAAGCAGTGGAACAGGTTTCTGAAGTGTTCAAAAAGTAGCTATCAATTCTGTGAGATTATAATTACTCTCATTATATGATTGGTCTCCTTATGTTAAAGTCCTAATTTATATCTCTCTAGTCATCAGAAGTTCTGTTCATTCATTAAACATTGCCTGTGGTGTACCTATAGTTTCTGGCCTGTGCACCAGGAAGACAAGAGGAAAACACACCATTAAGGCATTATGGAGTTGATATAGGGGGTGTCAGACATAAAGGGAAAAAAGCTTTGCTGTGTTTACTAGCAGAGGTGAGTTGTAAAAAAATAAATGTTCAAAGTGTACAGTACGATTGAGAGTGCCTTTGCTGCCATCGCTTTGAATTTCTAATTCAATTTTTGATAGTTCTTACTCCAGTAAAACATACACATTGAAAACGAAACATATTTAAGTCCAAGAGATTCACTCTGTGGAGTCACGTTTCTCCTGTCAGTGCATATAGTGATTTTAAACAGTTAGGGTGATGGTTTACAGATGAATGTCTGACTTCCTTGTTAGATAGATCACTGCTGTAAAGCCAGAAGTCTCTGGTGAAGTCAGGATTGCATGGTTATTTCTGGCCACAGTCTGCTGGACTTTCAGCCTACCATACACAAGGGTTTCTATTCTTTCATGCAGGCTTGTACTGTGAACCTGTTATCTGAAATGATCATCTCTCTGTGTTGCCTGGCTTGTGGGGATACTCGTTCACTTAGAAATAGTTCCAGAGTAAAGGAGCACTCAAAATCTGAGGAGCAAGAGCCCTCAGTGATGAAATGGCATTTCAAGAAGTCACTGGGAAAGTCATCTGTTTGTCTAGTACCACCCCTTTTAATAGTCCTGATGTTCAGTGTTTTCAAAACAATCTTTATGACTTCTGAAAATGACTAATGTCGCAAATAATACTGTAATATTGCTTCAAATGAGAAGAGGATTAATAAAATGTGCTTGCTTTAGAAACCATTGAAAACACATGGTTTTAGCTTTTACTGGGGGCTCAAAAATAAAGAGAAAAGTGGAACTCTTCAGGGCTCCTGAGATGACACTTTTAACCAGTGGCCAAGTGATTACAAAGGCTAGAGTTTTTAGTTATTTCTAAAGATTATCTAACTTTACAATAGCATAATGGGTGTCATTTATTTTTATTTATTCTCTCATTCTGTTAATGACCTCTTACAAGCTCTTAATTTCTTCATTTCCTGGTTTCTAGTTAATTTATTCCTCTTTGGCAGATCTCAGAGGGGCAAGCATCATTTGCCTAGAAGGTATGGACTCAGGATTGAGCAGTCTAGAAGCTATATTGAAGGTGGGCAAGCTGCTTACCTCTATGTTCTAATAAATCCAGTAAGGAGGGTTTTCTAGACACCTCTCAGCTTTCCATTGTTGATGTGAACCTTTAATTTCAAAGGGCAGTGGCATTCTGTAGGTCTTGAAGTACTAAATTCCCTTTGCCATTGTGGAATGAAGGCTCACTTGGAGTCATATTCAGCTTGATCCCACAAAGTGTAACAGGGCCTTCCAACTCCAGTGCTTTGTAGTTAGAAGATAGTCTTATATTGGCAATGCTTGCAGAACCTTTTTCCATACTTATTCCCACAGCAGTCTCATTCCTTTTAAGAATGTTGAAGCATCTCTGTAGAGCATAGACATCATACACAAGTACTTTCTTGGTATTTTTGCTCAAGGACCAAGGAATGGTAAATGAGCCTGTTGGCCCTGTGAGAAGCTCCTTGAATTTGGATTCTAGATACAGGTTCAGGTCCCAGTTTCTCTTAACTGTGTGACTTTGGACACACTATATTAACCTCTTTGTTGGTGGTACTGTTTGGAAGAGAGAGGTAATAAAACCTGCCCACCAAACTTCCAAAGACCTAGGGGATCTCAAATGTGCATTAGAACCCTTTGTAAACCGTGTGGCAATATCATTGTTATAATAAAGTGTTTTGTAAACCATTGCTATTTGGAGAACTAGTGTAAGAGGGCACTTTGCCTTCTTCTTGTTCTTGGCTGTCCCCTGCCTTGGAGCTGTGGGTGTAGCCTCTGCCCCCGCTCCCTCCTCTTTGGCACCACTATCTCTAATGGACTTGGAAGAACGGAACCCACTCCATTTATTCTACTTCATTCCAAACAGTAGCAATGTGTAGCCAATAATTAAATATCAATACCAAGGTGACTCCTGTGTCATAAAGTTTTAGTCATCTCTAATCCAGAGTGTGTGGGCACCAAGGCTTTCCTTTTCTCAATCAAGACCAGGCCTTGGCTGCTCAGTAGAACTACAGTGGATGCTCATGGTTCCTTGTGCCAATAAAAAAATAAAAAAGCCATCATGATCTGGTGAAGATCTGAAGATGACATTGTTCCCCATATCACTGCCCCCCCCACTATCAGTGTGACAGTGTGTCACTGTAAGTGACAGACCTTATTTGTAAACGACAGAGTCCAAGTTCCCTTTGCATGATATTTAGATTTGTTTCTCATTATCTCAAGATAACTCAAGAAGGAACTTTGATACATCTTAGACGTCTAATAGTTTAGTATCGTGGTTTCTTAGCTGGATTTGACAGGTAACTCCTGATGTTGCAACATTTTTTTCCATCTAAGAAGGAGGTGCTGAGGTCTCAGATGATTTATGCAATATGTATGAAACTTAACTTGCCCAGAGCTCATAGTAGGTATTTTGTAAACATTGTTGGCTTGAATCAAAGGAGTGGCAACTTAAGAGTTGTTTGAGCATGTTGGTTTGAATCATTTTGCTGTATACCTACAAACCATGTTTCTTACATATTAAGTAGTAATATGCCTAGCCCTTCTGTCCAGGTTCTGATAGTAGATCAATAGAAAAGTCTGAATGTAGTGTTGGGAGAGAGTTCATGCATTGCTTTGCCACCCCTTTCTACCTAGCTTCTTGATTTTTGGACTCTGACATGAGTACAGGCTCATTTTTGCTTTGTTTGCAAATATGTTTGGGACAGGAAAGGGCTAGTGGAAGTTGAAGTGTAATGATTAAAAGTAAAAATAAAATTAACTTGTTTGTAAAACATTTAGCTCTCATTCTGTTGTACAAACTTGGGAAAAATGCAGTGGTGCCCATTCTTTAGCATTCAATAATGGTTAAATTTTGATGTCACATCCTTGACCTTTTGGTAGGAAGGAAGCACTTTGTTTCCCAAGCCTCTTCTTGAATACACTTTGACAACAGTCATCCCTTCCTCTTTGTGGGAGTGACAGAGGTGAGTTATAAGGACATTCCTTGTGTTGGGTGGTGATGCTTTAAATTCCCTTTGTTGGCTTGTAAATTTCTTTATGGCCCTGAGATTGCTTAGATGGGGATTTAGAATAAAAAGGACTTTACTTGATTTCAGTATTGCCAAGAAGTGATCCCAGCTGTTTTAGTCAGCTCAGGACTGTGTATATACAACAGTGACCCTCAGGCTATGACTCCTAGTGTACCTCCTAGTTAGTGCTATTCAAGAGTAACCTGCAGAAATTTGCTTTTGACTTCAGGGAGACCTCAGGCTTTGTGACTAGCAGCAAACATGTAATTTAGAGTTTCCTGGTTCTGAGAAGTTCCTTGGGCAGGATGGTGTGGGGATGTGAGAAAGCATGTGTCCTACTCCCTGTCAAATGCCCTCTACCTCTAGGTTCCTTGCTGAAAGTTTGGTGGTTTTTTAAGTAGAGGATGATGGCTTCTTGCTTTTCAGTCTTTCAGCTAAGATAAA